CTACCTATACCTACCTAAGACTATATAGAGGGGACCCGTGCAAGCATAGGGCCTCGCAAACGAGGTAATTCATGTTGTCCCTCGGGGCCTGGGGCCGCCGGTCGGGGTCCGGCTAACGCAAAGACCGAGCATGTTGCCAGTAGCTGCGCCTCCCTTTCTCATCGCCCCCCCCCTCCCCGCATACCCCTCATCGAGTCCAGTAGCAGCAGAGGTATAGTGGCCACCAACACTCTCCCACACACCACACACAACCCACTCGCACCCGCACTCACACCCGTGTTGGTCATAGACCCCGCTAATACCGATCTTTTTTTTTTTTTTTTTTTTTTTTTTTTTAACCGGGCCCGATCTTGATGATTCGAAATTGGGAAAACAAGAACAAAATCCCAATTTTGAATTTTGTTTCCCCGGAGAAAGGACGGTCGTCAGCAAACGGAGAATTGCACTTTTTTTTTTCCGTCGATCATCTGGGTTTCAAGAATCGAACACAGGACCTCCCTCTCATCACAGTTGCACGCTCAACCCAACGGGTAAGCTGATTGGAGCGAAAGTTATTGTGTGAATGAGGATTCCCGTGTTCACTACGGTTGTTGAACGGGTGGAAAATAAAATAAAAAAATAATAAAATATATATTTTGCGAAAGCAAATGCCAACTAAAACCGCAAGCCAAACACATGGAGATCGGGATCAGGATCGCGATATCCGGGCAGATACAGGAAAGCGGGAAACAAGACGATTTGTAATCTCTCTCTCTCTCTCTCTCTCTCTCTCTCTCTCTCTCTCTCTCTCTCTCTCTCTCTCGCACACACACACACACACACACACACACACACACACACACACACAGAAACAAGGAAAAGCAGAGAAGAAGAGAGAGAAATTTCAATACACCGATAGATAAAATACAAAAAACAAGAAGTAAGACCCAAAAGAAAAAGAAAAGAAAAAGAGAGAGAGAGAGAGAGAGAGAGAGAGAGAGAGAGACTTTCAAGTGCGTTGCGCACTGACATAACACTATCATCAATAGCCAGCGCAATAACCATTCAGCCACATGCGCAACTTTCAAGTGCAACTGTTGGATCCTAATGGAATCAGACGGATACAACAATATAGGGTTTGGGGTTACCCCCTAAGGATTGTTAAAAAAAAAGGTCAAAAAACAAAACAAAAAAGAAAAACAAAAAAAAAAACAATGTCATCATGAATTCATCGCCCAGAAGTCACTTACTGTCCCGCGCTCACCACATTGTATTTGGCATGAGTAGGGCGGCCGAAGTCCTGCTCCTTTTTTTTTTTTTTTTTTTTTTTTTTGAATCCCTCCCTTTATTCTTTTTCTTTTACAAATGAATGTCCGATCCATTCTCCAATCTCTCTCCTTTTTTTTTTTTTCCCCTGCCCGCAGTCCGACCCATTTTTTACAAATGAAAGTCTCTTTTTTTTTTCAAATGAAAGTCTCTTTTTTTTTTCCAAATGAAAGTCCGATCCATTTTTTACAAACGAAAGTCCGATCCCTCCCTTTAATCTTTTTTTTTTTAACAAATGTTAGCAGAGAGAGAGAGAGAGGGGAACAGAGACTCGCCATTTGGTACACTGACCTTGCCGAGTCTCTGTTCCCCTCTCTCTCTCTCTCTCTGCTAACATTTAAAAAAAAAAAAGGGATAGGAATGGACAGAAACGCTCAAAGAGAGGGACGGAAGCATGCAGAATGACAAGAAAGAAAAAATGCACAGAGAGAGAGAGAGAGAGAAAGAAAGGAAATGGTTGGCGGGTGAATAACGAAACGGTAATGGTGCAGTGGAGCAGTTATGGCATCTCTCCAAATTGGGGGCCAAATTTGCCCTCCCATTCAGATTTGCCCCTCCCTATTCTTTCCAAATTGGCGCCAAATTTGCCCTCCCATTCCTATCTGCCCCTCCTATTCCCTCCAAATTGGGAGCAAATTTGCCCTCCCATTCATATCTGCCCTCTGAGCCCCCCTCCCAGGCTCCCTATTCCCTCCAGGAGGGTTGGGTGGCAGGAAAATGTTGCCCCCATTTTGGGGCCCATTTTGGGGCCTATTTTGGGGCCTATTTTGGGGCCCATTAGGTAGCATGCAGCGAGATCTTGGTAGTATCGGCTGCAGAGCCGAAAGTGAAAGAACCCAAGTGAAAATGTAATGTACACTCACAGGAAGAAGAATATAGGTATAACGTTAAACAGAGGAGCTGCGTACGGTAAACGGTAGGGAGAGAGGGAGGGGAGAAGAGGACAAGAAACGAGGGAGGGGCTGTGACAAACTGTTTCGTCGTCGGAGTTTCACCTATCTACTCATCATCAGGAGGAGGCTGAACCCTCAACAGTCGGCAGAATCCCCTAACTGACTGATTAGTACACTGTAAGTGACAATCCCCACCTGTACCCCGACAGGTGATACTACTCTGAGGAGGTGGGGACCACCAGCCACTGCCCTCAAGGTACCTGTGACAAAAATCAAAGAAGACTGTCATATATATATAGAAA